AGGGTAGAATTTAATTGATTGATACCAAGAGATGTTCATAACATATTATTAAATGGAAAAAATCAAATTACAAAGCTATGGGCAGTATGATCCCATTAAGAAAAATCAAACAAGATATGCATTTAAATACATCCATCAAAGGCAAAATATTAGGTGGTTATCTGGGGTTGTTCTTCTCTGTGTTCCTATTTCCGCATACGTACTAATTATAAAAAGAAAAAAGGATTCCACATCTTAACCTTTGTCGAAAAAACACGGCACAGTGGATTACAAGTGGTCATCTTTATCAGATAAAAACTTCAAAAAGTCTGTTCTGGATAGAAGCAAAAAGCATACAAGGCTGAAAAATGGCCTGGGAGTGTTATGGCAATTTATTTACAGACTATTGAATACAGCCTGAAAAAAAATGGTAAAAAACAAATGGTTTATATTAATACATTAGATGTTAACAGTTACAAGATTTAACTTTCAATCATTCTTGCAAAAGGGTACAATACTTTTACAACAAATTAACTGGGAAAAAACTTAAAAGAGTGATTCTGTATTCACCATAGAGCCTCATTTGAATACAATTAGAAAATTCATTTTTAATTGGACATTTGATAGGCTGAAATGAGTTAAGACCCACAGACTCTGTCAGTCCATAAAATTAAAAGAATAAGTTCTTCCCATTACGATAAAAATTTTCCATTTTCGCTGTCTTCAACTGGATCCCATGACAGTTTATTATTAATAGCTTTTATTTTTAAGTAGAAACATTTAAGAAATTATCTGGAGAAGCTTTTGGTAAATGGCAAACTATTGCTCCCCTTAAAACACCACTTGAAATTACAAAACCCTGAAAGTATTTTTGTTGATTTTTTAAGAAAAAGTTCCAAATCAATAGGTTTTATTGCATAAAACCTTGAAAGAACTTAAAAGCGAATTATGTTTGCAAGACTACTGATAACCAATCTTCTTTGAACAAATGAAAAATATATACAGGATTTGCCTTTTCAAAGATTATCCATATATGAAACAAACAGCCCCTTCAGGCTCCTAGATTTTGAAAATGTCTTTTTCTATTTTTTTCTAAATAAAAATTGTTTTTTAAGCAGACTTTTTAAAGCCACTTGTGTTAAGCCATTAGTCCAACAGTCTAAATTTAATTATTTTACTGTATCACTGGTCAAGTTATTTTGAAGCAATTTCCCTATTAAAAAGTTAAGTATTTACTGCAGAATATTGGGAGAAGCACAGGCAATCCAGTCACCAAAGTTTCTGGCAATCCCTTTCTCTAAGCCTTATTTTTCTTAGCTGTAAAGTAAGAAGACTGACTGGATAATTTTAGATTATTGGGACATCTCGTTCAGACTTTTAAAATATCAAAAGGCAGACTGGGCCAAAAAAAAAAAAAATCAAAAGGATATTATATCCCAGTTGATCTATGGTCAAAACACGTATTTCAGCTTTTTTTTTTTTTTTTTCCTCTGTCTCCTACAGGAAGGATTCAGCTTTTTGGAAAAGAAAGCAAGTCCCCTCCCCCTAAAAAAAGAAAAAATAAAAATAAAAAAGGAAAACAAAAAGCCCTAGGATGAAAAATCATCCCAAATTGGACTAAGCTCAAAGCAAACAGCAAAACCTAAACTCAGAAGTACCAGATTAGATTGTAAATATTTATGTATTCACTTTTCATTTTTCTCAAGAAGCCTTGATATTTCTTACAAATAGGCCATTGCAAACTGACCAGATTCAACTTAAAATTTTATCACTGAATTTCCAGTTGATTTCTCTCCATAACCATCTCTATCCAAATTTCAATTTAAAATTTCAAAAAGATACTCAAATTTTCATGCCCTACATTCACTAAGTACAATTTAGATACAGCTGAGGGTAGCAATACCACTAGCTTCTCCAGATATTTAAAAAATCTTGCTCACTGGCCGGGCACGGTGGCTCACGCCTATAATCCCAGCACTTTGGGAGGCCGAAGCGGGCGGATCACGAGGTCAGGAAATCAAGACTATCCTCGCTAACATGAAGAAACTCCGTCTCTACTAAAAATACAAAAAATTAGCCGGGCGTGGTGGCAGGCGCCTGTAGTCCCAGCTACTCAGGAGGCTGAGGCAGGAGAATGGCGTGAACCCGGGAGGTGGAGCTTGCAGTGAGCCGAGATCGTGCCACTGCACTCCAGCCTGGGCGACAGAGCAAGACTCCGTCTCAAAAAAATAAATAAATAAAAAATCTTGTTCACTGTCAGCACACTGGAAGTATGATTTAACACTGTTGATGATTATTGATGTTACCCCAAGGACTAGATTAGTACCTGGCATGTTGTAGGCACTGACTATGTATTTGCTGACTTAATAAAGCTCTGAATCACAGCTAGAATTATTACCTTATTTCACATTCCACAAATGACAACTCCTTAAAATTAGCATTTGAAGGTTTCACAAGTGACTTGCAACTCTCTAACAAATAATGAAGACGTGGGAAACATACTGAGTTGCATGCAGAAAAATCTGCTGTGTCAGTAAACACAAAAGGGAATTTCACATGGGAGAAGATAAATACTTTCTTCTTTTGGTAGGTCAAATCTTTTATATTTTTGTCTTCTTAACTTGAAATCTGACTTACCTGCTTTTTTCCAAAAAATTTAAGCAATATTTTGTGTTCCTTAGATTTCACTCAAATTTTCAGCGATGACTGCTGTTATTGTAACTATAACCTACAGAATTAGTGATTTCCCAACTTTTTCCTATTAAACCAAATTCACTGAATTAAAATATTAAGTGCTATGAAGGGAAGCATTAAAATTTTTTACTATCATATTTCATCAATTATAAGCTGCATCCCAGATTCAGACATGTTATTATATAGAATATTTGTCTTATAATTGATGACATCTTAGCATTGTTTTGTGGCTTAATTGGCAAACATTTTTTCTTCTAAGTGATATATAAAAGACTGGTATGTCTCACAAGCAATGCTGTCTTAGCGTAGTATTAGAAGTTCTAGCTCAAATTTTCAATTTCAAAGCAACAATTTCCCTGTCCTCCCAGCCACTCTCCCAACATAAATATATAACTGAAATGTTTAATTAGAAAAACTATCCAAACACAGTTCAATTTTATATAAAATATTTAATTTTTAAAACACAGGCTATTCATGTCACATAAATATCTTCAATTGTAGGTTAGCTGCTTATGGTCAGCAGAATTATCAAGTGTGACTATTAAGAATAACTTAGATACTGTCACTTATAGGAAAGTCTAAAGCTCTAAGACTCACCATATTAAAATTTCAGATACTTGAATACTGTTGCTATTTTGCTAATTTCAAAATATTTCTTCATTTCCTGCAATGTAGTTTATAAGTTGTTAGTAATCAATATTCAAATAAAAGCAAAATATTTTTTCTTCCATTCATTTCTTTCTCCCAACAATAAAGAGTCCATCAAAAAATAAAATGGTCAACTGATATCAACTGTTTTATAGTAGTAAAATGGTAAATTATCCTCTTTAAAATAATTTTACTGTTAACAAACTACAGGGCTTCCCACATACTGTTTTGAAATGAAGGTTCGTAAGTTAGAGGGCACAGGGTTAACTGGCTTTAGAACTGGAGCAATATACATTCTGTAACAGTTGTTCCAATTTAAGATTCCAATAAAAAAAAAAATAAGTTACCAGAACAGTTAATGAACAAAATGATTAATTGGCACAACTCTAACTTCCAGTCAATTTTTCCATTTAGTGATAATGGAAACACTGGTTATTTACCTTTGGTTCCTTTCTAGAATAATAATTGTGTGTATATGTGTGAGAGTGTGCACACAGTGAGACTTGACACCATTACAGTTTAAATAAGGACTACTCCATTCTTTGATGCTCTTCATAAAAACAAAAAAAAATGTTGAAATGAACTAAAGTTGTTCCTCTAAGTCTGGCAGAAGTCATAATCAACTACATAGAAGGTGACAGGAAGGAAGATAAAAGTTCTCTCTCATTGCCTTTTCTTTTTGCTTCAATAAACTCAATCTAAGCAATGTTTCTAGTTAACAAGTGAATAGAATTGACTTTCTTAAAATGGCAATTGCATAACTTAAAATATGGTATTTGCCACCCCTCCCCCACGAACTTTAACATATTTATGCAAGTTCTGTTATTAACTCTTGCTTCTATACTATGACCCTCCAATTATCCATGGCAAATGGAAACAGGGATAATATGGCAGCCTGAAAGAAAATGGTACTCTAAAATTCTCCTGGAGCTATTACTTTCAACCATTTAAATGACAAAACTTTTTAGAACTTATCAAACAAAAGGTACTGATTGCAGTTCTACTCCCTTTCTTTGCTCTCACTCCCCTATCAAGAGAAGGTAGTAGTGAAAGGTAACACAGCCCAAAGACAGGCAGAAAAGGAGAAGGTGTGACAGGCAGAGGGAATGGACCTAACCGGAACTGAACAGGCAGCCCCTGAAAACTTGAGAGCTTCCTGCCTTTTTAATGCATTGATTCCCTTTAAAAGATAAATGGGGGTAAAAGTTAACTATTTTTTTTCAGACCTTAAGCTTACCTGTTAAGGCACTTACTTTCCCTCCCCACCCCACCCATAGTTTTCATATAAAACCCACTATTTCATTTAAATGCATTTTGCTAGGCTATGATAATCTGCAAAACAAAACAAAAATAACGTTGACCATTTTTTTCTTATAAAACTGTTGCATCAAGAGAAAGGTTGTGTTTTATTTTCTGAAATGAGCACAAAGTACACCTTTCACAATAACACTGAAAGCAGGTGCAAAGACTGACAGTGACCTTTGACTAAAGGTAGCTTTGTAAAAAGAAAAATACCAAATAAATCAGTGCCCTTTCTGATTGTTGTAAAACTGGAGGTGGGGAGGGGCTGTTTGTTACATAAAAGTTGGTCCAAACTTACAAAAAAAAGCACAAATGTGCATAGTTCAGAAGATCTGCAAGAGGGCCATAAAAGGCTTATGTCCCTAAAATTAGCATCCACTTAAAACTGCAAGAATACAAAATAAAATTGTTAACTAGAATTTGTGAAGATGTACAATTGATAGATCTAGTTTTTAGAACAGCATGAATTTAAGCAAAGGTTTTTTTTTTTTTTTTTGTCTTTTTAAACTATTGTATGCAAGACCCTTCTCCACATAAAAATAAAGCTGTTGTTGAATTATTATTATTCAAGTCTCTTGGATTGCTGCCTTAAATTGCAGCTAGAAAAGTCTTTCCAGATAAAAATGATGTGCCTGAGGAAAAACAGATACTCAGTATGGTAACCCTCTGCCTCTGCCTCTGCCAGTTGATGTGCTAATATGTCCCCTGTATCCTTGTGAATATCCAGGTCCTTGGGCAGGAGAAGTCCAGGTCTGTCCATGCATGAGGCTGGGGCCACTCGGGTTTTCCTGTAAGTTACCACCATAGTTATAGTTGTGCATCTTTGCTGGCAAAGGATGAGTACTCTCTGGCCCCGTGGAAGGGTCACTGCTGTTTGCCAGGACTGCAATAGGACCATGGCTATATTCAAATCTATGGTCCTTGTCTCCACTAAACAACATGGGACCAGTATTGAGGTAAATGTCTCCAAAACCAGCTACTGAACTGGGAAACGACTCAGAAAAGGCAGAAGGCTGAGGTGGACCACCAGAATGAGATGAAGCAGTACTGTAGTTATCCAAAGACTGAATATCTGAATTTCCAATGAAACTACGTCGTTCTAGTGGTGGAGCAGAACTGCTTCCTAGACCATCATTGCTAACATAAGGAGCAGAAGAGAAAGAAGACGATCCAAAGTTGTCCTTGTAGTCTGAAGTGGACACGTAAGTGTCTCCTGCTTGAAAATCAATCCCACCTTCTCTTTTGGGGTCATCCTGGGGCTGATGCTGAGCAAGCAGCTGTAACAGGGCTGCCTTCACTCCGGCATGAGGGTCAGTTAATGAAGAACTGGTAGTGGGTACATGCTGGTTTTCTGTCCGATAATCTAGATCTTCCTCAGTGACTGGTGGTGGTTCAGGAGGCTCAGGAGGTCGTTGGTCAGGAGGCAGAATTCGAGGCCGGTCTGGTTCTGGTGTTAGCTCCAAGATCCTCATATCTTGATGCTGGATGAGGTCATCTTGTCCTAAGTGAAACAGAGCAAAAACAAGGTCAAAAGTTACCAT